TGCTGCACCCGCGTCTGCTGGCAGCCGCTGGGGATCGTCTGGAGACGATCCCAGAAGATGAGCTGCTGCCAAACCCTCAGAGTGAGCTGCCGAAGCTGCTGTTGCTGCTGCTGCTGCTGCGACTCTTTTGCTGCTGCTGCTGCTGCTATTCCCACTCCTTTTGCTGCTGCTGCTTCCGCTGCTGCTGCAGGCTTCGCTTTGCTGCTGAACTCCCTGGCGCGCTTCCATGAACAGGAAATGACCCTCCGCAGGACACAGCAGCAGCAGCAGCAGCAGCAGCTGGAGCAGCAGCAGCAGGGGCAACAGCAGCAGCTGCTGAAGGGCCCAGATTTAGACGCAGTTCACCTTGCTATGTATGGCCAAATACACTTGTCACTACTCGAGTTTTAGCTTTTGGGGTTTAGGGTTTAGGGTTTAAGGTTTAGGGTTTGGACGTTTGCTCAGTGACAAGTGCTTGGTCAACATCTTGGGCTGGAAGAGGCAGCAGCAACATCAGCAGCAGCAAGAGCAACAGCAACAGCAAGAGCAAGAGCAGAAGCAGAAGCAGCAGCAGCAGCAGCAAACGCCCCCAGGCTTACTGCTGCAGCAGGTGCTGCAAAAGGTAGATGCGCGCGGCTGCTGCTTGGCGCTTGCTGCTTTGTCGCGCCTGCAGCAGCGGGAAGGATTTGCTGCTGCAGCAGCAGCAGCAGCAGCAGCAGCAGCAAGTCAGGTGTCTGTACACCTCAAAACGCTGACAGCGCAGCAAACCGCCACGCTGCTGCACAGCATTTCCAAGTTCCCTCAACTGTGCCCTTCTCTAGCTGGAGACCTTTTGCTTCACGTGAGCTGAGGGTTTAGGGTTTAGGGTTTAGGGTTTAGGGTTTAGGGTTTAAGGTTTGAGGTGCAGCCGAAGCACCAGCCTTTAACATGTCAAGCATCGGCTCGGAGCTGTGGGGACTCCAGGGTTTAGGGTTTAGGGCCAAGGGTTCACAAAGGAGGGTTTAGGGTTTAGGGTTTAGGGTTTAGGGTTTGGGTGTTGCAGCTGCGGCCCCGCGTAAAACACTTGGACCCTGCAGGGTGTGTAAGTGCCCTCAGCGCTTTCCGCCGTCTGGGCATTTCAGGTAACCCTAAACCCTCGAAAACCCTAAACCCTAAACCCTCGAAAGCTCTAAACCCTAAATCCCCAAAAACCCTAAACCCTAAACCCTAGACCCCCAAAAGACCACATGCCGAGATTCAAGCCCGTAGCAGAGCCGGGAAATATTCGAAGGAGGTTTTAGGTCTAAACCCTAAACCTTCAGGCCGCCTAAAACCCTAAACCCTAAACCCTAAACCCTCATCGGGCAAATCGCCGCTAGTCTTGCTGCAAACCCTAAACCCTGCAGTCTCTCAGCGGCGACCGTTTCGAAGCTCGTGGCCTGAAGCAAATGTTCGGGGTTTAGGGTTTAGGGTTTAGGGTTTAAGGTTTGGGGTGCTCCTGCAGGGACAGATTCGCTAGCTGAAGAACTGCAGCAGCAGGCTGCCTCTCAAATCCATCACTGCGACTGGCCAGCGCTGCATGCTGTAAACCCTAAACCCTGGCCCCCAAACCCTAAACCCTAAACCCTATACCATGCGCTAAGCCGTAAACCCTACCCCCTAAACCCTAAACCCTAGCGCACCTTCCCTTGGCTCGACTTTGCTGTGAGCATGCAGCTGGCTTCAATTGCCCGCTCTGGAGGCTTCACACTGCTGCTGCAGGTGCTGCAGCAGCAGCAGCAGCAGCAGCAGCAGCAGCAGCAGCAGCAATCGCCAGCGTGGGAGCAGCTGCGTACGTCTGCAGATGAGTTGGCGTTGTTTTCATGAGAGCTGCGGCCCCCTTTTAGGGTTTAGGGTTTAGGGTTTAGGGTTTAGGGTTTCTGCTCTGCCGTTTCTACGCGTTGCTGCACGTGTCCTCAGGAAGACTGCTGGAAGGGAGCAGCAGCAGCAGCAACAGCAGCAGCAGCGACAAAAGCAGCAGCAGCAGCAGCATCAGCAGCACCAACAGCAGCAGCAGCAGCAGCTTGGTTATAAGCTGATGTCAGCCGAACAGCCGCTGAATGCCCTTCGGGCGTTTCTTTAACTGCGCAACCACCTTCTTCGCTACCTGAGGGTTTAGGGTTTAGGGTTTAGGGTTTAGGGTTTGTAGCAGACCAAAAAGTATTGAGTTTTCTAGGGTTTGGGCAGCGCTCGGAGACCAGCGACCGAAAAAAGGGTTTTGCTGCGCCCTTTCCCCCCAGACCCTCAGCCCAGCAGCTAGGGTTTAGGGTTTAGGGTTTAGGGTTTAGAGGTTAAAGGCCTTTGCAATGTGCTCCGTGTCCCCCAAATCCCATATAACCACTTGCGAACCCCCAAAGCCAAAAACCCCTTTTTCTTCGCTGGCCCGGCAGCTGAACAGAGGCCCCTGCAACGCAAACCCTAAACCCTAAACCCTAATTGTCTCGCCACAAACCCTGCGAATGTGCCTCAAGGGCTGCGAGGGGCTACAGGCAGAAACACCACATCAGCAAAAGCAGCTGCAGCAGCAACAACCGTAGCTGCAGCAGCAGGAGCAGCAGCAGCAGCTACACGAGCAGCAGCTGCAGCAGCACCTGCTGCAGCAGGAGCAACGCCGCTGCACCAGCAGCACCAGCAAAGCCAGCTGCAGCAGCATCAACCACAGCTGCAGCGGCACAGCAGCAGCATCAACCACAGCTGCAGCGGCACAGCAGCAGCACCACCACAGCTGCAGCAGCCGCAGCAAAAAGCACTAGCAGCAGCAGCAGCAGCAGCAGCAGCACTTACCACCTTGAGGTCCTTCTCATGCAGCAGCGGAGGCCCTTTTGCTGCAGCAGCTTGAGACCCCCGCAAGTCCCAAACCCTCGCCACTTCATCTAAGCCGCAGCTGACCAGCAGCCCCGGCAGCTGCTGCTGCTGCTGCAGCGCTGTTGCTGCTCCTGAGTGTGCAGCAATGCGCCACAAACGAGCAGCAGCAGCAGCAGCAGCAGCTCCTCCTGCTGCTGCTGCTGCTAACGGGCCCGATGACGCACGCCGAAAGTCGAGACACTCAATGGACCCGTCCTCAGCGCTCACCTGTACATCCACCAAACCCTAAACCCTAAACCCTAAACCCTAATTAGCTTCACAGCGCTCACTCGCCGCGTCTTTTGAAGTAGGAGACGCACAACCCCACAAAATAATTCCAAACCCTAAACCCTAGCCCCAAACCCTAGCCCCAAACCCTAAACCCTAGTCCCAAACCCTAAACTCAAATCCAACGCCTTAAACCAGAACGCTAAACGTAAACCCTAGACCCTAGCCCCAAACCCTAAACCCTAGTCCCAAAACCCTAAACCCTAGTCCCAAAACCCTAAACCCTAGCCCCAAACCCTACACTCTAGCCCCATACCCTAAACTCTCGCCCCTAACCCTAAACCCTCTCCCCAAACCCTAAGCCCTGGCCCCAAACCCTAAACCCTAGTCCCAAACCCTAAACCCTCGCCCCAAACCCTAAACCCTAGCCCCAGGGCTCACAAAGCAAGTCGCCAGGTTCGCCTGGTTCCAGCAGCAAGCCTCTGCATCTGCGCTGAGGGGCGCAGTGACCTGCAGCAGCAGCAACAGCAGCAGCAGCAGCAGCAGGGGGGTG